AAAAAAAAAAAAAAAAAAAAAAGAAAGATGGTCATGGTGCAAATAGATGGGCGATTAGTACTAAAATCAGTAATATTATAACAAATTTCAACCCCAAACTAGTTTTAAATTTAAAAATAAATTTTATAATAGAAAATATCTAATGTAAAATATACTAACACTAAATGTAAATAGACTAAGCATTCAAATGAAAGGAAAATGACAGTAGAAAATAAATAACTGCTCCAAATTAAACTCTCACTTTCTCTAGTTTAGATTATGACCTTGTAATATATATTTAATATATACTTCCAGTGGAGTTATTGGAGTTAATTTCCTTTTTAGTATTCTTCCATTTCACATTTTTCTTAGCTATTTCCTCAATGTATTTTTTGTTTACTGTTTCAAAAATTTAACAATTTCCAGAACAAAAGATCATTGAGATTTTTATTAGAAGCATATTTAATTTATCATTCAATTTGGAAAGAATTGGCCTTCTTATTTTTTGGTGTTTCCACTTAAAACAAATTTTGATTTCTCTTTAGTGTGTGTTGCACAGTTCTACTTACTGATATTTCTTGTTTTCTCTTGTTTTTGGTTTTTATTATTATTGTTGTCATTGAAAAAAATTTGTATCCTAATTTCTATGCTGTTACAGAACTATTATTATATTAAAGACCTCTAGAAAATGGTTCCATTATTAAAATATTTTAATGTTAAAAAAAAATAAATAAATAAAATAAAATGGAGTTTCCTTCCGCTGCCACTAAAGAGGAAGCCTGGCGTACCCAGCGCCTCTGACGTCTGATCCCCAAAACAGCAGCATCTCCCGCCCCATGCTCTTGAGTCACCTGCAAACCCGACTTACATTTGGCGGAGAGGTTATAGCCTCCGAGGGGCGTGGGGTGGCCCTCCACGGCGTCGAAGCCCGATGACACCAGCACCACGTCTGGGGCAAACTCGTTGGCGATCGGCATGACCACAGTTCTGTGAAGGGCGGGAGGAGGTGACACAGCTTCAGCTGAGGACGCAGCTGGGGAGGGGACTGGACGGCCACCAATGCCAGCCATCAGGGCCTCGAGGTCACCACCCAGCACCGGGGACGCAGGGCTGCGGGGCTGAGCAGGTGCTTTCCTTCCACTGCCCCCTCCCCACGACCAGGCCACACGGTGGGCTACGGACGACTGACCAAAGACCCACTGCTCGTGGGCCAGGGGGACGTGTTAGGCTAACTAAAAGAAATCTAACACAGAATCTCTAAAGGGAAAACCGATGACCAAATTTAAGAGGACTGATCGATTAGAAATCTAAACACAGAGAAGTTCAGCAGTTAAGTTACATTCGGGAAACAAGCGGAAGGGTCAACCTGAAAAGCGGGGCAAAAGCATTGTTAACACAACGCCCCTGCGGCCCCAGCTCGCAGACTAATTGTACCGGCTCGTCCTGTAAATCACGCTTTGGCTGAGACTGGAGAGACCCACGGCAAGTCAAACGCTCGTGTCTGTGCCCTAAGCCGGCTTCACTGTGTCTGGAAAACCATCCCTGACTTCCCGTCTCCTTCCGGCCCCATGCGGGTGGGGTGGGCAGATCACGGCACGGGGCCTGGGCTCCAGGGCAGGCCAAGCAGGGGCCACGTGGCTGCCGGCGCTGGCAGCCTCTGCCGACTCGGCCCCCCCATCCCTGGCTGGAGGAGCCTGGGCATCGCGCTGCGCATCGGAGAGCCCTGCCTGCTGCCCTGAGCCACTGCACAGAGGGGCTGCCCTCGTCCCGCAGCTTCCCTGGGACGTGAGCCCAGCTCGTCACCTCTGAGGCCCCCTCCCACCCCAGGTCTTCAAAGGCCCGCGTGGGAGGGCGTCAGCGCACTGGGCACGGCCGACAGTCCCCCGCCACGTGCCGAACTCCAGAGAGCGCCACGGCCACAGGGTGCAGGGCGGCCTGTGAAAGCTCCCACAGGCTCTCGTTCAAGCTTTTACTAAAGGGTGAGACTGCCACTTACATTGGCAAAGTCAACCCCAGAAGACAACTTTGACCGAAGAAACAAAATGCTCAAAAGACTGAATGTTTCTCCATCCAGGAACTATTCTCAATGGCAATCCTGTTGAGGAGTTCCTCTGATTTCAGGCGGTGGAAGGGCCGAGAACCCCAGAGAGCCACACACAGGTGAAGCCCCAGCCATCCTTCTCTGCAGGATCCGTGGTGCGGAGCCAGAACGCCCCGGCCCGGCTCCAGGGACCGTGCACCACCTGGTGCTGGGAGACCCCAGGGCCGCTTCCCAGGGAACGCCTGTCCTGCGATGGGTCAGGTGCTGGGAGAGTCTCTGCCATAAAGACCCGCACCGACTTCACACCTGGCACTTCACCCACCAAGAAACCCACCTCCGGAACTAGGGAGTCACGGACAAGGTGGGCCTTTCAACATCTCCCTGCTTTTATTTTTCTTTCTTCTGAGGCTGCACCCAGTTCAGTTTCCTCTGGAACTGTCTCTGCACAGCTGATAAAAGCAGCTTCAAAGGACCTAGGCTCTGTGCCTCAGGGACCACAGCCCGCTTTGGGGGCCCAGGAACACGGCGTGTGACTCTAGACCAGGGGCTGGAAAGCGTTCCTGCCAAGGGCTAGAGAGTATTTCCGTCTTTGGGCCACGTGGTCTCAACACCACCCTTGTCACGGGAAAGCAGCCTTGCATGATGCGTGAGCGCGTCGCCGTGGCTGTGTTCCAATAAAACTTTACTTAAAGAACACATGCTGGATGGTTGAGGGTCCGCCTGCTGATGCAGGGGACACAGGTTTGTGCCCCGGTCTGGGAGGATCCCACATGCCGTGGAGCGGCTGGGCCCGTGAGCCATGGCCGCTGAGCCTGCACGTCTGGAGCCTGTGCTCTGCAAAGGGAGAGGCCACAACAGTGAGAGGCCTGCGTACCGCAAAAAAACAAAACAGAAAAGAACACACGCTGGGACTCGGCCCATGGGCCGCAGTTTGCCAACCTCGCTCCAGACTCCTGCCATTACAACTTTGGTAAAGTTCTACCACGCATGACAACAGCCCCAGCTTTTAATGTTTCTCTGTGCCACTGGGAGGCTGTCACAAAAGTTCCCAGAATCTGTAAACGCAAAGTAGAGAGCGCTGTCTTTTAAACACAGCATCTGGGTCAGAGCAGGCCTGGAGTACGTGTTAACAATCCTGCCACGGGGGCCGGAAGTGGGGAAATTCCTGGTCCAGGCAGGGGAGAGGGAGAGAATGCCTCGGGGATCCAGGAAGAACTGTCCTCTTTCATCTCCACGCCCAGCAGATGTAGTCTGTCTTCCCAAAGGTACAGGCCACCGTCCGCCCGTGAGGACCTGGCGGGGCTCCTCCACAAGGACCTCCATCATTCCAGGGAGACTGGTCTTCAATTATTTTAATGAAGTTCTTGTCACATAAACTTTGTCTTCAGGCCAGAGACCAGTTTCAGCCATGGTCTTGGTATGGATTTTAAAGCCAAGACAGTTTTTCAATGAAAACCACAGACATTTCAATGCAGACACCAGCTCGTTCACAAAGAGCTTCGGCAGCCGTTTTGAAGCAAGTTCGTGTTGGGGGGCTTTAGTTCTCTGCTTTGAAGTGTCTCTGAGCTATTGCATTTCTAATCCCCCCACAAAACTGAAAAAACAGCCCCGTTAGAATCATCGTTAAAGGAAGTTAATACCAAGAGGGTCTCTGGTGTCTGTGCTTGGTGTGTGGCTTCACCCCGAAGCCAATCATAACGAATTGTAAAGCACAGTTGATCCCATGTGTGGGTGTGTGGTGGGGTGTGTGGGTGTGTGGTGGGGTGTGTGGGTGTGTGGTGTGTCCGTGCATGTGGGCGGTGCGTGCGTGCGTGTGTGTGTGTGCGCGTGTGTGTTGTGTGCAGGGTGGCAGGTGTGGGTACATCGTCAGGCACGAGTGTAAGTAGCTGAGACAGTTGATGTGTGTGTACACACATACTCACTGCATCTCCCTGACTTGGGACCCTCTAGGTTGTAATCCCTAACACTAGCTAAAGTAAGAAAATCTGAAATGGTGCTGTATGCCAGGCATGTGCCGAGTGGGTCTCCAGCACTGATTTTCAGTGAGTCCTGAGCCCCGACAAATGTCACCTCCCCTCGACGGGACTCGGCCTCCTCGCAGGTGAGAAGAGGGCTGATGGCGGCCCTCCTGACAACCCCACCAGCCTGCCTTATGCACCCGGCAGCATCACCCCACCCAGGACCCTCGTGCCGGAGGGAAGCTGAAAGCGCATCACCAATTAATAGGCTCTGCAAAGGAAATGGGAAACTGGCCTTACATTTTATTTCTAGAATGACATTTTAAGGAACAGCTTAGCCTGAAAATAGTAAGATGTGAGTATTTGCTGGAGGCCTTCTCTCAAACCACTGCTTTAAGGTGAGTGTGTCCATGGGGTCCCCTGTGGCCTTCTGCAGGGCAACCGAGGGCAGGGAGGGGTGGGCTGTGAGCTTCCCGGGGTAGCAGACCACTGATCGTCTGCTCACAAGGAGGCGAATGCGCCGATCCCCGAGAGAAGAGGTGGCCGGGTGCAGGCCTCTGAGTGGGAAAGCAGGGAGTAGATGGTTGTAAGGACGAGCAGCATGTGTCCCAGAGCCTCTGCGCCCCGGGGGCTCATGCCGGGGGTGGAGCTCAGGTGGGCAGAGCCGTGCAAACTACATGTGCAGCTGTAGCCCGTCGCCCTCCTGAGGCCTCCTCTGGGCCCGCTCCTGGGGCCTCTGCTCCAGACACCACACTGTGCCTGCCCCTCAGTCCTTAGCTCGCCGGCCGGGCCACACCTGTGGCCAGGTTGCCACGGGGAAAAGCTGGGCTGGGCGTCCGCTGAGGGGCAGGCTGGGCGACGGGGCGGATGTTGCTGATGAGCCAGTTCCCACTCGAACCAGCAAGGGCCGCTCCGGGAAGGTGGCAGTGCCAGGTGGTGCTACGGGGCACTTCCAGCTCCCAGAATCGTTTCTTACAAGCCACCCTATAACCTCAGGTGATCAGATTATGGGGCGCACCAACACACCATCTCCAAAACCCACAGTGGAATCTAAACGCAAGAGCTGGCTCAATAGTCTGCTTCAACTTCTAGAAAGAAAGGAACTTTCGATTCATCCCCCAACCAGGGCCCTGCACAAAACCCACCACACTTGCGGTCCGCACGGACTGGGGGCACACAGCCTGGCGCGGCCAGTGGGCTGAGGCGCTGTCTTTGGGGGCTGTGCTCACCCATGCCAGGGCCTCCACCGGAGCCGGGGTTCAGGCCGGGTCACTGCCCCTGGGTCCCTGCTGCCCCTCCAAGTGCCCCGGAGGCATGGTCCACAAAAACTGGCCCCTGGAAGCTTCACCCACACAGGCCTCCTCCCTCACTGCCGTGCTTTCGGCTGGTCTCGCAGTTAAGCATCCCCAGCAGGGAGAGCGCCCGTGAGCTGGAAGCACCAGGCAGAGGATACCAGCTGTGGCGGAACCCTGAATCCAGACCTGGTTTTACAGGAGGTTGTGGCCTGGGTGGTACCTGACAACACAGTTGCAATAATCACAGCATTCTGATCATTGAAAACTTCCTTTTGTTGTACGTTGTGCAAGTTCTTGCTTTGAGGGCCAGGGAGAGGGCAGGTGTGTTCCCTCTGGGACCTGGGATCTCCGCACACCTGCACGGCGGGCGTGGCCTCCGAGCCTCCCTGCTTTGGGGTCCCCCGCGTCCTTTCAAGAACCCGTCCTCTCCACCAGGACCGCCAGGCAAGTGTCTGGAGCACCTGCTCGTCCAGCAGCTGAACTCTGCTGCGAGTCAGAATCAGAACAAAGACGGTGATGACGGAAACTCAGCGGCCCCGGCCTGGCCACCCAGACGGCGATGCCACGGCCTGTCGGGACAGAGCTGGACCTGGCGGGCAGGCTGAAACCCATCCACACTGGACGCCGTCCCCGCTCCTGCCCCTCTAGGCCCGGCCGCCCTTGCCCATGGCCCCCCTCCCACTCCGGAGCTGC